GTTTGGGCCAGCCAGATCTACATAAATTTTAAGCAGTAAGTTTTCTTCATCAAACCTTTAGATCCGTTGCGCATAGGTTTATGTTGAATGTTTGTCCGTGATTTGTGCATAACGAGATCCTCATGGGTTCCTACAGAAGTGACTTTTGTTGTCGAGGCAGATGCTAGCGGAACAGGCATTGGAGCGGTGCTAATGCAACAAGGACAACCCATTGCATATTTCAGCAAGAAATTAGCGCCACGGGTCAGAATAAGTTCCACATATAATAGGGAGTTACACGCGATTGTGGAGGCTGTACAGAAGTGGAGGCAATATCTTTTGGGTCGACACTTTTTGATTAGGACTGATCAGAGAAGTATTAAAGAACTTCTTCTCCAGGTAGTGCACACACCGGAGCAGCAGGTACATATTATGAAATTAATGGGCTTTGATTTTGTCATCGAATATAAGGCCGGAGTGGAAAATAAAGCTGCAGATGCGTTATCTCGCCGAGACGAGGATCTAGGCGAAGATGATGGGAAAAGTAGTCAATTGAAAATGTTGGTTTCAGTCCCTATTAATCGAATTATTGAGGAGCTGGAACGAGAAAATAAAGAACTTCCTTCTATGATTCTTTTACACAAAGACTGGGAGAATGGAGCATTACAGGAGGATTGGATAGTGATGAATGGAAAATTGTTAAAAAAAGGGAGGCTTTATTTGAGTGAAGATTCAAAACTCAAGGATACGATCATGTTTGAGTGTCACTCTACTCCACTGTCTGGGCACACGGGTGTCTCTCGAACCTTGGCTCGGGCGTCAGCTAACTTCTATTGGGATGGCATGCGGGGGGATATCCGTAGGTTCATTAGTGCTTGTCCGATATGTCAAAGTGTGAAGTCTATAAATAAGCCGCCGGCTGGACTATTGCAACCACTTCCAATTCCACAGATGGTGTGGGATGATATTTCTATGGATTTTATCGTTGGTCTGCCCATCTCTAATGGTTGCACGGCAATTATGGTTGTGGTGGATAGACTCTCCAAGTTTGTTCATTTTGCCGGCTTACCTCCCCAATTTCACAGCATCGAAAGTTGCAGAGGTTTTTGTGGAGGCTGTGGTTAAGTTGCATGGATTTCCGAAAACAATTGTAACTGATAGAGATCCAATTTTCATGAGCAAGTTTTGGACAGCTATGAGTAAATTAAGTGGTACAAAACTCCTCCACAGTACCGCATATCATCCACAAACGGACGGGCAAACGGAGGTGGTGAACCGCGTTTTGGAGCAATACCTTCGATGTTTTGTTAGTGAACGACCAACGTCATGGCGCAAAATGTTGGCCTGGGCAGAATTTTGCCATAACACCAGCTTCAATAGCAGTATTCAAATGACTCCGTTTCGTGCGCTATATGGTCGTGATCTGTTTGGTATAGAATTGATGGGCAAGGGATAACCGAGCTACCCGACTCGGGTCGATCTCGAAGGAAGGCTATTCGGAGCTTTGTCTACTAGATGATCGTCCAAATCACAAAAATTGAAAATAAAATCCTAAACATTCTAAACAATTGATTGGATGGTTGATTAACACTACTTGAACACTTAAAAACAAGCAATTAATAGAAAGCAAGATCAAAAGACGAGCAATTCGCAATCTAGATCCCCGGAGTCTCAAACCATAACCATAACGGGATGATAATCAATCGACATACGGAATAAATGAGCTACGAGCATTAGATTGCTAACCCTAGTCGTCTAACCGAGATCAACAAGTAATTAACGGCTCTATCTACTCAAGCAAGCAATCAAGTTCAAGCATTTCCACCATCATCAATCAAATCCAATTTACTCTAATGAAAATTATAAGTAAAACCAGAGCAAAAACGAAGTAAAGAGCTTTAAAATTAAATACTCAATCTCCCATTGCGTAGACGATGAAAAACGGAGTCAAAAGCTCGAAACTTGAACGAAACCGAAGTCGCCGGAAAATCTCCCG